TCATTGGTTTAGCGGCCTTATGTTATGCTCCGTTATGCATTTTGTGTGCGATAGCCTTAAGTGTTCTTAGCGAGTAATTATTCGCTTACTACATTTATTACACAATGCACCGTTATGCATTTTATGTGCGATAGCCTTAAGTGTTCTTAGCGAGTAATTATTCGCTTACTACATTTATTACACAATGCATTATAAATGTAGCCCATGAATTAAATATTGCAGCAATGATAACTTTTATTATTTTGTTATGTATTTTAACATTTTCAATAATCTCTCTCAAAGAATATTGTTATAAAATTCAGAATTATTATAGTTTATTTTAATTTATTATTAAGTTTCACATAATGTTGAAAGAATTGTTCTATTTTTTTATATACCATATATATATATATATATAATAAAGTCTATATATTTTGTTTAAAAAATTTATTATTATATGCATCACATATATTCTCATATATATACATATGTATTTTATTTATACATTAAATATATAATATACATTGAATAATTTATGTATAAATATTCGTATTACATTAAACATATATGCATTCATATTAAATGCATAAAATAGAAGTTGTCATTAGTCAAAAGTAGATATGCATAAAGTAAAGAAAAATTCATACCTTACTTATCAGAAATTAGAATCGAAAGTATAATAAATGCCCAACAATATGGATGTAGGGATAATGTGTGTAAATATTTCCAGCTGATGTTTCTAGTACGGCCATCTAGCGGCACATTATATAACTGATTTTTGTAAAACGCATGATTGCATATGGCCGCGTGAGAGAGTCAAGAGGAGGTTAATCTGCGAAGGAAACAACCTGTGGCAATCTCGTAAACCTGGTGTATGACAATGTGATCGCTGGATCCTAACAAGAAACGACAATAATTTATCAGATATGTGTGCGAGAAAGGACGCAGGGAAAGCACATCTATAGAGAACAACCAGTTAAGTAGCCACTTCTAATCGCTCTCAATGATGTAGCTGCCGTTATCTAGGAAGACGCATAACGGATATCGTTCTGAAGTTAAATCCTGACTAAATATGGCGCAAATACAAATGTCAACGGTAGACGGACTACCGAAGCATTTTGTCAATGCGATGCGCACTCTGTTCGATATAATGGACGATCAAAATACCGGGTTCGTCAAGTTTGCTGACATTGAAGGTCGCTGGCAGGACGACGGCACACAGGGTCTACCCAAGGGTGTGCTGGAATGCCTAAAGAAAGTCACACCGCCGAACGGGATGTTGTCGTTCGAAAGATTCTGTGCTGGTCTGAAGATCTGTCTACTACAGATACAGGCAGAGGCAGATGCTAAGAAACATGATGGTCAGCCCAACAGGCCGCCATCCGCGCCAATACTAATCCCTGACAATCAGAACAAGGCAGCCTGGACCTCACCCAACACCGCCGCTATAAGACCGAACAATGCTATATCCCAGCAACGTACCCTCAGTATGCCACAGTTGCTGGCCAATCGCAAGGACATGAACGCGCAGTTGGAGCTGATGGATGGAAGGAATATTGTAGAACCGAAGATCAACAAGGTGTATGGTCCACCAAAACCACCACGAACTGGCGCTGCACTGGAAGGTAGAACAATGGGTCTGGAGCGTAACTTTGACAAATCTGAGATTAGGACTGCGCTGCAAAATTGGCAGATGGGTCTCATGATGAGCGATGAGAAAGAAAAGCGTCAGCTGCAAGCCATAAATTATAGACCAGATGCCAGAACATTACTGAGACCGACCAGAGTCCTGGGTGATGGTAAAGCAGTTGATATACAAAGTAATCAACTCGGTCTCCAATCCAAGAAACTGTTGAATCGTCGCAGAGAGCCCAGGCGGCACACGTTGCAGAATGGTATTGATTACAATATGGTAAAGATGTTATCCTCTAGGACTCCCGACTAACCCTTGGTGATTGGTTCTGGGTATGCACTAACTGAATATTAACAGTGATACATATCTCTTAAGAATGAAAGACATGTATCTATAATTATTTTTTAATTAATGTAATATATCAACTAAATAAGAAGCACCAACTACAGTCAAAGTTAGATGTTGGAATAATAATTCTAAATGTATTTAAAATTTAAGTTATTTAAAAAATAAATTACATATAGAATTATTATTCTAGTATCTAACTTTGACCATGTAGTTAACACTTCTTCTCAGTTAATTTATTCATATGTCGGCCTTGTCTTGAATTGATTACAAATTACATATGTATATAATTTATTATAATTATAAATTTTATATATATATATATATATACACATGCACACAAAAACACTACTATTTTACATACATCACTATCCATATCTTTTTGATATTTCTGAAAAATGTTTTCACAATACATAACACTTTCAGATGAAAAGGATGAAACAAATTGAGCAAGAGAAGGATGTACTGCTTCAAGGTCTAGCTGCTGTTGATAAAGCTAGAGAATGGTATTTGAAGCAAATATCAGCCACTCAAGAAAAGATTAAGCACCTCGGACGAATGGGTTCTCACGTGGTATAGAAGATACTTTTTATTCTGATGTCATATAGAATTCTATACAAAATATGTACGTTTATATTTCACATAGGAACAATGGACAGAGGCACAGCAAGAGCGTTTGGAACTACAACGCGCGCGTGTCTTGGAAGTAAATCGACATCTAGCCGCTTTGATAAGCAGCTGGGAGCGCGGAGGACTTCCCCTTCATATGAATCTCGCGTTTCTGAGTGCTCCGACTTCGGCTCAACTTCAGCAAGATATGCTATCAAGGCTTAAACAACAGAATCACAGATTAACCGAGGTAATGTATAATAATAGTAACAATAATGTGCATTATATATGAATACTGCATTATATAAAAAACAGCAAATCAGTTAATCTATTTTTTTTCTATGTATAACACCAAAACAGGAAGTAAGCAAAAAGAGTCAACGAATAGTGTTACTTGAACAAGAAAAAGACAGCCTGGTTAGAGAATTGTACAATAGACAATCGGGTCTGGTCCAATCCCGAAGGGCAACAATGATCCACGAACAACACGATCAAACATTTATGTAAGGTACTAACATTTTAAAACGTATCATGAAAATGAATAAAATTAATAATCTCTAATTTCACTTAAAAATTCTTTTCAGAATATGAATATTTCAGGCTTTAGAAAATGTGCCACATATAAATAATAGAGAAAATGAATTAAATAAAATAAAAACAACCAAGAAATTGATGCGGCAGAATGGTCGATTAGCATTGCCAAATGCCATATCATAAATTTATCAATACTGCCTGACGTTTTAGCTGAAATACTCTACAACAATGAATCGATAAAATCGTGTTTTGAATCCTCCAGAATGTTTATAATGACATGTAGAATACATTTTTAAAATATTTGATATATTGTATTAAAATAATTATATATTGTATTAAAATAATTGTCACTGCCTTATTAACTTGATATCTTATATTAAAGATGTAAAATATTCATTAATAGAATATACAATTAAGTATCATTTAAATATAGTAATAAGTAAATAAAGTGCCTTTACATTTTTGTAATCTATTTTAAAAAGAGCAAAACCTGTTTTAAAATAAATTATTTTAATTATGTAATAAATGTGGATGTCTATTTTTTTGTTAATACAATCTTACGTCGGTTAAAATTATAAATGTATAATCTTATGCATTATGCAGATTATTTGTGCAATAAAACATGATGCACTATTGATATATTGATTTTGATCTTATTTTGTGAGATGAAGAAATTTTATTAAATTTTCTTTGTAGAACTGTAAATTTTAGAGGTCTATTGCCATGACACGTTTCATCAATTTCCGGACTTACAGCTGCCAGTGTCAAATGTTATCGAATTCTGAAGACGATAGCATATTATTTATGATAATACGTCATTAAATCTGTTAGTTAAAATCTTGTCTGATAAAGATAATCACTCATTGGTACAGGAATTTTATATATATGATTCAAAAACGCGAAAGTAATGTCATAAATTATCAATGATTTATTCTTAGTTAAAAATGAACAACTGTATAGCTGACTGGTTTGATCAATTCGACAATTGTCTGCGAAAAATGTCAATTCTTTAGAGCTACTTTTTTTGTCTCGAGTCCAAAAAGATGCAGTCTTTTTCATGACGAAAACAGACACACTGTGTTGCAAAGACCGATAATTTCGTAGCATGCACACAGTCGCACAGTGATAGCGAACAAAAGCTGAAGTCGTAAAACTTTATCAGAAAATAAGAAAATATATAAATGTTAAATTATGTGAGAGAGAAATCACAATAAAGACATTACAAATAATATCTTTATACTGCATTTTAAGTAATCATAAAATGCAAATATAGTTCCTCACGTTAGAAAATATTAAATTAATTCCAAAAATGATTTCCATATATTTCCAAATATCTTTAAACATTCTTGATTGTGATTCTCTATACGTGTCAAAAAATTGAAATCTAAAATTGGCAAGAAAAATTTACGGATTATTTGATTTTTCTTCTCTTACACAGTCTATAATTTTACGAGTGCATATTATATTTTGAATGAACGATTTCAATCTTATTAATAAGCTGTGTTTAATTAACGTTATTAAATGTAAAAATTAAAGAATTGCATGATTTCGTGTCTCAGGCACCACTGCGAATGTTGGCGGACGTCGAGTTTCATCCCACGCATAGTTATTCAGCGATTGGACGGTTTCCGCACGATCGTAACTAGTTTAGCGGTTCACGACAGTTAGCTGCCACGAGTCGGCGGATTCGGTCGATTTGATCGCTACATCGTCTCTGAACGATACCGGCGAGCGCTTCTTTCGTTGACAAGAGAACGCGCGAAGAAAGACCGCACTGACCCCGTGTCCCCTGTGGAGTCTGTCGACCTTTGATACTGGACCGGCGACAAAAGCCTACCAAGAAAACGTCAAGCGGTCGACGATCTCCCCTCTTCTCTTGGATTATCGCCGTTTACGATATCCTTTGCAGAGCTTTTTGACGTTTCTTGTCTCGCCTCATCTGGGAACATCATGCTACCAAGATTGACGCTCTCGGTTGCGCTACTCCTCCTAACAATGGGTATGTCATATTAAAATATCAAGTTCAAGTTATAGGTAAGGACATTTTAAAATGCTAGAGATTTTGATAAATATCTCATCAAATGTACACAATAAGGTAAACCATCAAAAGTATACAATAAGATAAACCAGTAACCAGACATTTACACAAAACTTTGTTTATATTATTATTAATCTTAAAAGTTTTTAAAATAATTCTTTATTAATACAATTAAATTATATTACAATAAAAAGAGCAAGAGAGAAAAATTAATAAATCTTGCGTAAGTGTACATTAGATATATACATGTCCGGTCACTGGGACATTGGCTATGTTTACACCGTACATTTAGACCCGGTTGTTCCACCTTTTGGTAAATTTTATCTGTTGCATAAGTAGCAAAATTAATTAATTACATGCGCGGATTGCCAGATTTACCTAACAGGTAAAATTTTCCAAAAGGTGAGAACAATCGGATTTTAGGCCGCGGTTTAAGTGCACAATGTAAACGTATCCATTTACTTTACTTGCATTTGATTACACGTCAGAGATTATAACAATTAGAAGATGAACAAAATATACCAATATACTGATTAATATATCAAAAACATTTCTCAATTAAAAATTTAGCATTTAGTATATCGCTTAACGGTATAGTGTCCTAACCGATGTTTTCTTGTTATTGTATTTTATTCTCTGCGATATAAAATATGATTTTTCTTCGAACATTTTACTATAAATCATTGTATCAAAAGCAAATTTTTAATTTGTAAAGACTATAATATTTCGTGGAATTCGGTCTCTTCAGCAAACTTAATCTCCCATAGAATGAGAGTAATGTATGTATGATAGCAGTAATATATATATAAAACACGCACTTAGTTTATTTTTTCTGAGTAAGCAAATGATAAACCCATCATACCGATAATGAAGAGCGCTCTCAATGATGAACATCCCACACACGCTTGCTTTTATTGCTGATTACGCCGCTATAATAGGCCATATATCGTCTGTAATTAATAATTACTTTTGAATGAATCGAATGAAAAAATACGTGAGCGCAGAATTCGTTTTAAAAACATAAAAAAAGTACTGGATATATGTCGTAATATATCAGCACATTGGCGAAAAAGAAATCACGAACGTCATGTCATTAGGTCGAGAGTAAACGAATCTAAAAATCGATTAGCCCACGCACGGTATCCTCTATCTAAGCGTGAAAAACGCTTATCAATTTAGACAAGTGGGAAGTGCAGCCGAGCGCATCCGGCCGCAAACATTCGTCTTCGTTAAAACGCCACTATCTCTCCCCGGGGTAAATAAACCGTAGATATTTCCACTACACTCTGTGGTACATTCACCTAAAAATAATGTAGATAGTTAATAAATATAGGATCTAATTTAATAGAATCGTATCTATTAATTCTTCTGATAATAAGCATTAAAATAGTTATTAATAAACATATGCCGTAAAAAAAGAGCTTATTCTTATTATTCCTTCTTTATTCTTTTATTTTTTCAGAACTACCAGATATCTTTTTCATTGAAATTTCTTCGACTAATGTACATATAATTTTGTTAAGAAAAATGTCGAAGGCCATTCCATTATTTATCGCATTATTTTGTATTTAAAATTATTATGATATATCTTCGTAAATATATCACTTAATTTGAAGTTGAAATTCTATTAAAAGTTAGCTTGTGAAGTTGATTAAGAAACAGTATTTTATTTTCTCTACTATAGATATTGAGCATTAGAAATTCCTTATTTTTAAAATTACTTAAATTACTTGATTACGTCAATTATTTGAAAATCATATACCCCTAATACTTTTATTAAAAAATCGATTCCAATCAAATCAAAACATTTATTTGTTAGAAAGATATCAGAGGTATTATTCGATTAAATAGCTCAATAGCGTTGTATTTGTTCAACGCAGTCTAATTAACGCCAAACTTCTTTGTCAGGAGTTATGTTGTCGAAGGGATGCGAGTTGGATCAGATGCGATACGGATGCCGCATCTACAATGCACAATGCAGTTGCGGCTACGGCTGCAAATCCGAATACAGATATGATAACAATGATGATTGCAAGTTAGCACTGAAAGGTAATGACAAACGATACTTGCTCTTGAACTGTTAAATTTGTAGAATTGACGATATATCTTACACGCTTAAGAATTTTAACTTGTCTCGTTGCAGGAAGACGTAGCGACATATGTTCTCGATCGAAACCTTGCCTGAACGAAGGCTCATGTTCTCAAATATCGTCAGAGCCCGGATTTAAATGTCGCTGCGAAGGAACTGGATTCTACGGCACTTACTGCGAGACACGTTAGTATTTTGAATGACAGCGGATAATTCGACTGAACTTTCAGCCTACACAACGCGCTTAATTTTTTTTTAAACATTAAATCTTTACATATTGAATCACTTGAATGATTGAATAAAATTAGAAAATGAAGGACATTTTGGTAGAATAAAAAATGGTATATTATTAAATATTAAAAAATTCTCGCATTTCTCGAATTTTTCATTCAACATATAAAGTATGTTACGATGATGCAAATGAGAAAAAAAAATTAATATGAATAATTATATGTTACAGCTTGTCCACGACCAGACAATACACTTTTCCGAGGACAATTCCCTTACGAGTGTGTGGTGATCTAACTCGAATCTCTCCTTTTACTTTCATCTGAAATACAAATTTGTCTTAATATGATACATACATACATACAGGAAAAGAAACGCATTTCATAAAACATATTTACACACATCTTTGTACATACATAATAAATATTAAAACACACAATCGTACGCCGTTCCATCTATCATTTTGCATCCCTATTCAGAATATTCTTGGGACCTTCGTAACCACAATCTTGGAAATAGCTCGGTAAGTTACACCGCAAAATAACTTTACGGTTTTAAAAGAGCTCTGACGTTTTATAGAAGGTAGATATATTTCGATGCTTCCACTGTTTATTCATCAATAATTTTACAATATGTATGCACATGATGTGTTGGATCCATGAGTTTCGGGACAAGCGCTTAGTTTGTATCGTGCTTGTGTTATGTATTTTACCTTATTTACGTTATTTCTCTCATATCTCTACAATAATGCCACACATACCTCGCTTACCGTTTCAGATGGCAAAACTTATAAAACGTCTTACTTTTTACATATTTTTTTTTTGTAATTTCCATTGTGTATGTTCACAGAATTAGTAATACACACTAATTTGATTTTACAACACTGCATTAGAGGAACTTAACGACATGTATATATATATATTTATGTATATATATATATATTTATATGTATATATATTATCTA